CAGGCTTTCTGCACAGACCGGACCAATGGGAGGCAGGGACGAGAGCGGATGGGGGACCGCCTGGAGGGGAGGGTGGCAACTGTGTCTTCCTTTCTCCACAGACCTTTCCCTTCTTTCAGGGCAGTACCGTATCTGTTCCTTTATTCTGCTACCTGTTTTTCCTGTTTGGATTCTCAGAATGAACTGCCCTTGGTAAATACAGATTAGCCCATTCAGCTGCCTTCATTCTTTGATCCCCCGCACAGCCCAGGAGAGGGAAAATAGCCACCATTTATCGAGCATTGTGCTGACTGCCAGACAAATGTTCTGTCACAAAACACTCGTAACAACCCTGGCTGCCTGGTGCCATCGTGATTCCCACTTGACAGATGGAGCCTAGACAGGTTGGGATGTTTGCCCAAAGCAGCAGAGCTACGCACCGATGAAAGTAGAGTCCAAATCCAGGTGTCCCTACCTCACTCAGTGGTCTGCCATTTTTCTTATTTCTGAATGTACTCGCAGCCAGCCCCCTGAGAAATAAGGATTCAACCTCTCTGGTCATCTGAAGTCTCCTCTTAGGGCACTCCAGGGTCCTGAGACTAATCTCTCAGGCTGCCATTAAGAAAACACTACAATCTATGAGCTCAGAGGTCTGTTCATTTATTATTGTCTCAAAACAAGGTCTAATTATATAGCCCAGACTGGCCTCAAACTCTTATCTCCTACCACAGCCTCTCAAGTGCTGGGATTACAGGGGTGCCCCACCACACCCAGTTAACGGATTTATTGTCTCAGTTCTGGAGGTCAGAAGGCAGCCAAGAGCTACAGCCATATCACTGTGATGTCACCCAATCTCCCCAGTGTGTCAGGTGGGACACACTTCTCAAGGCTTTAGAGGAAGATCTTTTTGTCCCAGCCTCTGGTGTCCTATGCGTACTCCATCAAATGATAGCAGCCTTTCCCTGTGTCTCATCACATCTATGTGCAGATGTTTTAATTTCGTGTGTGAGTGTTTTTGTGTGTATGGATTTGCATCAGAGATGTGCCCAGTGTCCAAGGAGGTCAGAAAAAGGTGTCTGATGCCCTGGAACTGGAATTAAGTGATTGTGAACCATCATGTGGATGCTGGGAACTGAACCCAAATCCTCTGCAAGAACAATTAGTGCCTTAACCACTGATCTATCTTTCCAGCCTAACTGTGTATTTTTAGGACTCTGTAGCCCAGGGTGGCCTAGAACTCACTATGTAACCAAGGGTACTCCTGCCTCAACCTGTCAAGGTCCAGGATGAGAGTCCTAAACCACCAAGCTGAGCTAACATCTCAGTTTTGCTTAAACAGCCAAAGCTCTGAGAGGAATTTGCCCAAGGTCACATTGTAACTGAGCAGACGGAAGTACAACCAAATTTAAGCATGTAATAGACTCAAAACACTTGAATGCTTAGCTAGAATGGCTTCTTTTTAAAGACTTTATATATTTTTAATGTGTATGAAGTGTTTTGCCTGAAAGGATGTGCACCATGTACAGGGAATGCCTGTGGTAGTGAGAAAAGGGTGTTGGATCCCCTGATGCCAGTTGAGAGTCACCGTGTGGGTGCTGGAGAACCAACTGCGATACTCCTACTAGAGCTCTTAATCACTGAGCCAATTTGGGTTTCTCTGTGTGGTCCTGGCTGTCCTGGAACTAGCTGTGTAGACCAGGCAGGCCTCGGACTCAGAGATCCACCTGCCTCTGCCTCCCAAGTGCTGGGATTAAAGGAGAGCTCCCCCACAGCCAAGCCAAGCAGGTGTTAAATGTTTTTCTGCAGTATGAGGATGTTGCTACCTTCTAGGCTACTCACACAGTACTTTGATCAGCCTATGGCCATTAGTCCCAATGAATTGAGCCATTTTCCTTGCAGGAGGGTCTCTACACTATCAGGCACATAATTAATTGGAAAAGAAAAGTTGTATTTAGTGCCTTTTTTTCTTTTTTCTTTTTTTAGATACCAACACCAGAGGGTGAAAGTGTACCTTCTGCAGGCCACTTGAGGGAGCAGCAGGCTGGCTTGGAGAAACTGATGAATCAGGATTCTGGGTTCCATTCCTTTCTATTCTCTGTTGGCATCTTTTAGCACAGGGCTTTCTCGCTGGTTCCTGAAGTGCTTCACCTCTTAAAGTATGGGTACTGACGGCTTTGCGGCCTTTGTGCCCCTTGCAGCCACTCATGGTCCCAGCTGAATCTAGGAAGGGAGACAAAGGTTACTATGGGCCCTTCTATACTGCAGGGTCAGAGGCTGTGCTTCGAAGCCTTTCCTCCATCCTAGGTCTAGATTCTTGCTTTGCTTTTTGATGCCAGGGTTGAACCCAGAACTACACGCCGAGCTGTTTTCTTAGTTATACAGATGGGCTGATTCAAAATCAAATTCAGAATTAGTGTGATAAGGAGAGGGGGGGAGTTAGTATGTGGCAACCAGGAAACCATCTCCACTGTAAAGGCCCCTCTGTAGCCACCACTGCCAGATCCCATTGCTCTAAACAGTAGGTCTCTCTTTGTGGTTTCCAGACTCCTCCCTCCAGACCTCGGCCCCTCTCTCCAGCAGGGTTTTCTTTGGACCAAGGCATTTGTTACTTCACTGGACCTGTTTCCATAGACACACTCTAAGGGTGTTCATGCTTTAGCAGGGGGTCAGATCAATACACGAATCGGCTAGGTGCTGTCTTAGTGTTGCTGTGATAAAGGCCTAGGCCAAAAGCAACTCGGCGAGGAAATTTGACTTACGCTTCCTAGGTCACTCTATGTCAGGACAGAAGTTGAAGCAGAGACCAGACAGGAACGCTGCTTCCTGGTGCGCTCAGCCTGCCTTCTTATAGAATCCAGGAATACCCACCTAGCAGGGACAGCTGGGCCATCTCATGTCAATTATCAATCAAGAGAATGTCCTACACACGTGCCTACGGGCCAATCCGGAGGGTGCATTTTCTCAACTGAGAGCTGCTCTTCTCAGATGATTCTAGCTTGTGTCAAGTTGACAGAAAAAAAAAAAAAGCCATCACAGTGTTGTGATGTCGGAGATATGCAAGGAAAGATGTCAGGGCAACCAGACAAGTCCTGGTGAGAGGCTGTGTAGGCAGAAAGGGAAAGTCTTTTGGGAAGTGATATTTGAATCCAGATGCAGATGGTAATCAAGAGTGATAAGCAGCGGGGGTGTAGTGGCGCACGCCTTTGATCCCAGCACTTGGGAAGCAGAAGCAGGTGGATCTCTGTGAGTTCAAGCCCAGCCACCTATAAAACAAACTCAGCGGGTGAGATTTCAAATTCCAAGTCCTCAATCTTATTTTGTCATTTTGATTTTGTTATTGAGCCAGTCTTTTTCATGTAGCAGTGGCAGGCCTAGAACTCACAGAGACCCACTTGCCCTGCCTTTGTCTTGCTGAGATTGAAGGCCTGTACCACTGCAGGCTCCGAGTTCTGAATAAACCAGGGAAGAAAGCCTCTAGGGCACTCTCAGAAACTTGGATGGAGGCATTCGCCTTTGTACCATGTGGTTGGGTAGAGGGCTGCCCTCTAGTGGTTTTACAAGAACTATCACCCCATAGACCTGGAGTGCCACATGCTTAGGATTTGACTGGGGTCTAAATGTGTGTCACTTGTTCTTCTTTTTCCCACATGTATTCAGTCAACAAATATTTCTTCAATGTGGAGCGTGTGCCAAGAAACAAACATCCTGAACTCTGGGGTTAGAGCAGTGGAACCACTGTTAACGCAGTGACTTTGGATTTAACATTGTCGGGTTCCTTAGTCGGTACCTTAGCTCTGCTGAGCCCCACCCTCAACTCTTCATATTCCGAAGTCCCTGACTCATGGTCTCTGCACTTGGTTTCCTTTCTCCTTAGGTCCTGACTCTTTACATTGCTGGCCCAAGTCTCAGTTCAGATGAGACCCAAAGGTGTGAATGAGTTTATAGTCTGCCCCCACAGAATAGGAAATCCCATGAAGAGACCCGGGAATGGTAGTACTATTTATTATTTACTTATCAATTTATTTGTTTATTTATTTATTTTGAGACAGGGTTTCCCTGTGTAGCTTTGGCTGTCCTGGAACTCACACTTTGTAGACCAGGTTGGTCTTGAACTCACAGAGATCCACCTGCCTCTGCCTCCTGAGTGTTCGGATCAAAGGCACCGTCTGGCTACTACACGAATTTGATGCAAGCACTTCGAAGCCCTGGGCAGATGGATCTGTGTGAGTCTGAATCCAGCCTGGTGTATATGACATGTCCCAGGCCAGGCAGAGCTATGTAGTTCTCAACAAAACAAAACAAACAAACAACAACAACAACAACAACAACAAAAACAAATAGGGACTATCCCTGTTACTATCCACTTTTTTAAAACCGTTTTTATTTTTCCCTATACATTTACAACCTTCTGAATACAAAATTTACACGTTGGTGTTTGTGTGTCTCTTCTTGTAGAATGTTGGCTGCGAGGCAGCATGGAATTTCGCTCCTCTTGTGTTCTGAAACAGGCACTGCTCCTTCAAGCTCGTGATGCTCCTGCCTCAGCCTCCCCTGTCCTGGGATTACAGGCAACATGTCCACTCTGGGATCGACTTTTTAATCCCTCTTAATCACAAATTTAATGCCTGTCCTGAGCGCCTGGAACAGTATTGGCACCCAGTAGGCGCTCAATAATCACTGACCGAACTCTAGACCTCCACTTGGTCTTTTTCCAACAGACCTTTTGCCACCTTGTCCCAAGGAGAAAACAGGCCTCAGGAGGCGCCCAGAGGTGACCTCGAATGGCTCAACTCAGAAGCTCCGGGAGCAAAGCCACAGGAGCAGCTGTAGAGATGAGGAGCGAGGCCTGTCAGCGTGGGGCGCTTCCAGGAAGGCTCGCCAGGGACTGTGGGCGGAGCCGTCGGAGGCGGCGTGGGGCACGTAACTCGCTCGGACACCGCCCATCTCTTTGTGGGCGGGGTATCATAGTGGGTGTGACATATGCAAATAATCGCGGAGGGCCGGCCAATCGTGGAGCGCGCCGAGGTGCCGGCCTGGGACCGGACGCCGGTCGGCGCGCAGGCTCAGGTTGCTACAGCTTGGAACTTGCGGAGCGCTTCTGTGGCCACGGCCTCGGCCTCTGGATCGGGTCCTGCCGGCCGCGTGTGACAAACTCGAGTGGGAGCAAGCGGAGGTGCGGCGCGGCCCAGGGCCGCAGCCTTCGCAGGCGCCCGCCGCCAGCCGAGCCTTCGCAGAGTTACTCCATGCATCCGGAGCCTGCCCCGCCCCCGAGCAGCAGCAATCCCGAGCTTCCCTTGAGCGGCGGCAGCAGCACCAGCGGCAGCCGCCGGAGTCGCCGCCGCAGCGGGG